GTTTCACCATCTTTATTCCTTAAATTATAATTGTTCATATTGTTTTACTTAATGTCATTTTATTATTAAGATATACGTGTATTTTTATATTATGCTAAAATTGTGTTCTTATATTGTTGTTACATCTAGTTATTCTGAAAATGTCAAACTTGACAAAGTTGGAATTTATTGCCCTGGACATTTCCGACAAAAAATTATTTATCTTCTGAAAATGTCAAACTTGACAAAGCTGGAATTTATTACTCTGAACATTTCCAGCAAAAAATCATTTATCTTGGATTCTGGATGCTCAGATCCATTTAGATGTCATGGGTCTTGAAATTACAATTCAAGAAGAAAATGATGCATCACCACAAGATAAGGCAAAGGCCATAATTTTTCTTCGTCGCCATATTAGTAAAGAGCTAAAAACTAAATACCTCACTGAAAGAGATCCACTGAATTTGTGGAAAAAATTGAAAGAAAGATACAATCATCTAAAGTATCGTGATCATCTCAAAAGTTCAGTATGTAAGAAATGCAACTGCGGTTGCAAGATTATACAATTATTGGTGAATATAATTCGGCCTTGTTTGCAATCAGCTATATTGAGATAATGTGGAAAAATAATTAATCATGAGTATATATTGAAAGGAATATCATTCACTTATCATGCCGAGTGCGTAGATTTATGAAATATTTGATGTGGAGGAAAATATTATTGAATGGCATATATTGATAAAGAGATACTCCATTTTTTGTTCACGCCGAGGGCGTAGATTGAAAAAGATATTTATTGAACAAGTGATACTCCACTAATCACACTAAGTATATAGATTTATGAAATATTTAAAGCTAATATCATGTTTGTTTATGGTAGAACAAAATAAATAGCTTTTGTTAAGAAATTTCTAATCCGACCGGATCGAAAACGATCCCTAAGGTGAATACAGCCTCATTTCGCGGTCATGGATGTGGTCGTGTGTGTAATTGTGGCAAAATTAAATAGCAACACCATGGAGATTATATTTCAAATTTCACACTGTATCCCTAAAGGTGGGACCAAAATAATATGAAACAAGCAAATAGGGAGAATTTGCCTCAACTCTTATGGCACATGTTGTTTGTTATCAATGCGAAATTGATCAGTGTGTCGATGATAAATTTGATCAATGTGAAATTACTTATTATCAGTGTAACATCAAAGAGAAAAAGGTTGCAAAATATGCTTCTAAGTATTTATCTGATTCTAACCGTATGCTTCAAAGCATTTTACCAAGTCACAATCCAAGAAAATGAGACAAAGATAGAAATGTGATGCTTATGAATATTTCAGCTTTTATGGGTTAAACTAATTATTTAATTAGTAATATACACATATCTTATTTATACTTCCTTTTATCATCTCTGTTATTGAGCATGTTTTATTTTATATGTTAGTTTATTTTAAGTTATCAAAATATGAAACTTGCATATTTAAGTAGGCAGAGACCTAATTAAACTATAACTAAAGGTAAGGATATACGTCTTGTGGACAGTAAGACCATCACACACAATCCTTTTGTTATCAAAATTATTTTCCGCAACAAGATGAAGGTAATGTGAAATATATTTGTCTCACTTCCATTACCTAATATAATAAATAAATACTAGAAAAACTTTATTATCTTATAGGTATTGTTATACCGCCAAAAACATGTTTGCTTATTTTGTACTTACATATTTCGTTTGCTAAAATTATTTTCTTATTTGTTTATAAAATAATTTGAACCCCTGATATGTGATGTCTTTATAGCACGATGTGCTGATTATCATTTGAATAAGAATGTTATCATACCTTGAGGGGAAGAAAATGTAAGATCAAAAATGCAAAATGATATTACTGGAATGCTTTAAAATTATATATACGAGCAAGAAGTTCAAAGGAAAATATAAACAAGAAGATCAAAGGATTATTCATTTACAAATTATTGCATATCAATTACCAAATGCATTCACTGACACAAAGAAAGTAATAATATCATATGTGCCAACTAAAAAACAATATCACCATGAGTTGATATCTCGATGGGATAGTTTGTCAGCGTTGCAAATGCATCTAAAGCACGCATGAAGCGTGGCAGACCAGTCGGTACAAAAGATTCTGTTCTATGAAAGTGAAAAGCACTAGAAGGAAGTGCATAATAAAACGGGCGCTCTTGATAAGGCCCAGTTAGCTAACAATGATAAAGTAGCCCTTGATGAGACAGAGGCACTTAATGTGGTACATGCAACGGAGCATGATGAAATGAGTGCTCCAGTAGAAACCCAATGATGAAATGAGGCACCTGCCAAAGAGAACGATGAATGATGAAAAGGGTACTCCTGAAGAGACCTAATTAACTAACAATGATAAATGTTGCCCTTGATAAAACATATGCCTTTTATATGGCAAAGGAACCTGACGAGGCCTAATGACTTGATGAGGTCAAGTTAGCTAACTTTGATAATGTTGTAAAGGTACCTAGACATATTGAGATCTCAATGAATTATGAAAGAAATGGAAAATAAATGAAATTTTCATGAACACTATATTCTCTTCTACAATTGTTTTTAATATAAATAGTAAGGATCCGGAACCTCATAATGTCGAAAAAAATCGACAGAGACATGATTGGCCGTCATGGAAAAGAGCAATACAGGCAGAGCTAACTGTATTAGTTAAATGAAAATTCTTTGGATTTGTGGTCCAGACACCTGACGGTGTAAAACCTGTTGGGTACAAATGGGTATTTGTACAAAGATGAAATGAGAATAATGAAATTATAAAATTTAAAGCCCGACTAGTAGCTCAAGGATTCTCATAGAGATCAGATATTGATTATGACGAAACATACTCTCCGATAATGGATGCAAACACTTTTTAGATTCATAATACATTTGGTAGTCACCAAAAGATTGCATATGCATCTAATGGACGTGATAACGTCATACTTATATGGATCATTAGATAATGATATTTACATGAAGATTCCCGACAGTTTCAAAATGCCAAAAACAAAACCATATAGTATGTACTCAATTACAACGATCCTTGTATGGATTGAAGCAATCGAGGCGCATGTGGTACAATCACCTCAGTGAGTACTTAATAAAAGAAGGGTATGTGAATAGTAATCTTTATCCAAGCTTTTTTATTAACAAAACAGAATCAAGTTTTACTATTGTTGTAGTATATGTTGATGATTTGAATCTGGTGGGAACTTCTGAAGAACTCATGAAGACTGCCACTTATTTAAAGAAAGAATTCAAGATGAAAGATCTCGGAAAGACAACTTTTTGTCTTGGACTGCAAATTGAACATTTATGGGGAGGAATCCACATCCACTAGTCAACATATACAAAAAAGATTCTGAAGTGTTTTTATATGGATAAAACCCATCCCTTGAGCTCACTAATGGTTGTCTGATCACTTGATGTTAAGAAAGATCCTTTTCGACCTCCAGAAGATGATGAGGAACTCCTTGATCCTGAAGTACCATATTTTAGTGCAATTGGTGCTCTTATGTATCTTGCAAATTGCACACGACCTGACATTGCTTTTTCAGTTAACTTATTAGCAAGACACAGTTCTACACCAACCCGTAGACATTGGAATGGAGTCAAAAACATATTGCGATATCTTCGCGGAATAATTGATATGTGATTGTTTTATTCAAAAGAATCAAAATCCCAGTTAATTGGATATGTAGATGCTGGTTATCCCTCTGACCCACATCAAACTCGATCACAAATAGGGTATGTGTTTATTTGTGGTGGCACTGCTATCTCATGGTGCTCTATGAAACAGACAATGATTGCCACTTCTTCAAATCATTTTGAGATACTTACAATTCATGAGGCCAGCAGGGAATGCATTTGGTTACAATCCATAATCCATCACATTAGATCAACACGTGGCCTCTCATCAATAACAAATAGCCCCATAATATTATATGAAGATAATGTTGCATGCATTGCACAGATGAAAGAGGGTTATATCAAAAGTGACAAGACGAAACACATCTCACCAAAATTCTTTTATGCATATGAATGCCAAAAGAATGGTGAAATTGATATTCAGCAAATACATTCATGTAAAAATTTAGCAGACTTGTTGACTAAGGCACTGTCAACCATGGCGTTCAAGAAATTGGTACACAACATTGTAATGTGACAACTTAAAGATCTTTGGCATTGATGAGGGGGAGAACTTAAAAAGGTATTGACATTTACTATACTCTTTTTCCTTAGCTCAGGTTTTGCCCCAATGAATTTTCCTGACAAAGTTTTAATGAGGCAGTTCTAAACCATGCAATATTTTTTCCAGACGCACAAGAATATTATACTATTTTTCCTTCGCTCAGGTTTTGTCCCAATAGGTTTTTCTGATAATGTTTTAACGAGACATATTCTTAGTATAGCATTGTGAACTTCAAGGGGGAGTGTTATGATATCTGTGGGATCCACATTCTTAAATACACTTTTAGTACATGCATTGGAATTGTGAATTAGAAGGCAACTTGAACAATTGTGATGATAGCGCCAAAAATTGAAGTAATGAATGAACTTAATACTATGGTACATATGATGGCTATAGTCAGTATCATTCCCTATAAATAAATAAGGGTAATGTTATATTGTATGGATACACTTAATGAAAAGAATTGAATTATAGCAAATTTTTCTCTCTTCCTTGTTTGCAGTTCTCTTTTGCCCTATATTATATTCTTTCTTATAATCATCATCCTCATTCTTGTATTAAATAGTTTCTATTTGTACTTATACAAGCAGGCATATCCTCCTGTTCTTTTGACAAATACCATGCGCTTTAAAGCTTGATTGACACCAATATGAAGAACACTTGCCTAATTTGAAGAAAATTGAAGTATAGCTTGAACCAAAATTAAACTAATTTTTCAGCGGGAAAAAAAGTGTATATTTTACAGGCACTGATGAGTTATACTGGTACATCAAAATTATAGGAAGAAGTTGTTTCAGGAAAAAAAAAAAAAAAAAAAAAGAGAGAGAGAATATACGAATGCACACAGAATCCTTGTAAGCATAGAAATGCCGTCGACCACGCAATTGTCGGAATTCTTGGTTCACTTTAACACACTGCAAAAGAGAGAATCACTGATCACCGTTTTGCTTTATATAGCATTTGGAAGGGGTATCTATTTTCTCTGCTTTTCTGTTGGAAATTATTGGGTAACCAGGGGTATCACCTTATGGAAAGACAAATAAACCAAGAAACAACCAGCTTAATTTGAACTGAATGGGAAGAGAGCATACAATAAGATCTATGCCACAAAAATCCAGGTTAATAATATGCTTGAAGAACGAACTTACTTGTATAAATACGCAGCGATTCCTAAAATTAGACATAAGAGGATGATGTCGATGCAAAAGTTGCGACTGGACCTGAGCTGAAATATCAAAATACACATAAAAATAAAGGAATTAGGGACGGAAAGGAAGATACCTAAGTTTCAAGTTTGTATTCTTTTACAATTCCACATACCCGGGTCACCGTATCCTTGAGTCTCACATTAGTGTTCTTGAGGTCAGAGGTTGCCCTGTCAACCTGCAACAATAGTGTCAAACAAACACTGCTTAATTTGTAATTATACAACATGCAATGCTCAACACTTGTTGAGCCTCCAAGTCATAGAAATATCATCAAACACTTGTTACTGTTCGTTTTTATTCAATTACATTCCCCCAACTTCTTTTGGGTCGCTCAGGGTAGTTATTCTGGCTCCACCATCACCATCAGTGCTGAAGGACGACCCACCAAGAGTTTTTGGTGCACACAAACCCAATGCTATGCTCCCTAATAGACCGGAAGGTACGAGGATGATTCCAAAAAAAAAGGTACCTTGTCATCTATTTCATCCATCAATGGAACTTGCCGATCGAATTCCTGCACATGACATAGGAAGCATAAAAATAAAAGTTATTAAAGGCAACGACAATAAGAATGACATTTGCGCCATGCATTTTATATCGGATATTAAGGTAGAAGAATAATGTAACCAAACCTCATTCATGTCATTGGCCATGTTCTTCAATGTATCCAATCCTTCTACTATTACATCCAAATCTTGATCCTATAGGTAAACAAAATGGTTTATATGTTAGGAATCTTTAGTACAAGGCTTTGAGCGAATTAGCAAAAATTGTCATTCCCTACAAACTTAGATTTACGAGTGACCATGTTTGCCCAAAACCCCTCCAAACACTCCTATAGTTGAAGCAATCATATAAAAGTTAATTCATTCAACCAATTAATAATATAAATACAAGTATGACTTATCTCGCTTGCATAACGATATATTCCACCGATTGCTAAAAGGAGACTACATTTAAATATAAATCTAAAGCAATGCAAGCGTGATACATATTACAAAATAAAATGGGTATACTAAGGAAGACATAAAAGTGAAGCGTAATAATAAAAGGACCACTTGCCTGTTTCATTTTTCGCATTTCATAGTCCTGCCTAAAATTGGTCGACTCTTCAGTATTCTGAAAGTACTCCTTATTAAATTTTCCATCTGATAAAGTATGGGGAAAAAAGTGGAATTACAAAAAGAATCAAAAGAAACCAATTGGGAATTGACTTTTCTCTATATGTTTGTTACCTGAAGGGAAGTCTATTTTGATTCCTGTATGTGAGGATGAAGCTGACCAACCACCATTTTGTTTTGCTCCATTTGTAGACCCATCAGGTATCGCTTCAATCCTCTCTTTTAGTGAAGCAACCAGATCACTTCGAGCCTCAAGATCCTCTCTAGAAAGTCCTTTGACCTATGAATACTCATTTAAGATAATGACTCTTCTCAACATATTTATTACCCTACCCATCAACAATTCAACATATATAAACAAATTGTCCACACGCACTGATTACCCACTAATCACTATTTTGCTCTAGAACAAACAAATAGTGAGAAAGAAAAGAAAAGGGCAAAAAAGAAGAAGAAGTTACTACTGCAAATGATAAGCATGCTTTCACTAAAATTGATTGGCATAGTTGAGTAGAATACCACATTACATGATACCCATTATAACGCATACACGAGTAACGAGTTCTAGGGTGAAAAAAAAATGACAGAAATGTATTTAATTGCTGTCATGCTCCACTTGTTTTTTTGATTAATTTAATCAAAATTAATTCTATATTTATTTAACATTAGAACCAAAAATCTAAAACCTTTATTTGACTAAGCACACCACAATTCCGTTGCTAATTCAATGTTTTTTCTTTTCTTTTTTTCAAAACCAATGCAAAAATAAATCAAACAATTTTACTTTCCTCAATTTTCTGGGCAACCAAACAGAAGGTGAGGCATCAGAAAACAGTAATAGAACAAAACAGAACAATTAATATATATATATATATATATAAGCATAACAGACTAGGAAAAGACCTTTTTAAGCGCTAATCTTTGCAATTTGGGAAGTTCCTCAAGCAAGCGAGCCTTGGTTCTCCGTATCTCAGCATTAATGGCGACAACTGTTGCCCTGTTTTTCTCTGTTGCCACAGCGTCTGATCTCTACACATACATAAAGAAACACAATTGCATATTATATATAGAGAGAAAAGAACTCTAGCTCCAGAGCATATGAGTCTAGAGAGAGAGGAGGAGGGGAGACCTGGAGGGCTTGATTGAGGTCGGCCTCGACGGCGGCAAAAAGACGGGAAAAAGCATCGTCGCCGGAGATGTTGAGGTCGTTGTGTTTATCGATGTCGTACTTGTCGTATTTCTTGCATATTGCGTCCACTCTAGTTATCAAATCGATCACACTCATCTCTCTATATCTATATATGTATACACACACAAAAGCTTCGGATTAAACTTAAAACTATGGGGGATAATTAGCGAGGAAAGGAGGGACAAAGTGATTCTTGGAGCGGAGATAAAGAAATAAAGGGCCCGGGTGGGGACGGAGAGGACGACAAGAATGTTTAAACCTAAGTCACTAACAGGAGGCCACGTGGCGTCTCGCTTCGGTTCTTACATATAGCTTGTGTGCATCTGCTCCGTTGTTGATCCGTGTATGTCATCATAAATTATTAAATTTATTATTTATTTGTGAAAAAAAAAAATCATAAATTTATTTTTATAAATTTATTCGTTCATGTGATATTGGTAAAGTGAATAAATAAAGTAAAACAAAAGCAAAAAACACATAACTTAACAGGCTTATATGATATGATGATAAATTTTATAAAAGCAAACGGTGCAAAAAAAAAAAAAAAAAAATCTTAGTTTTATATATATGAAACTAGAGAAAAAAATTTATTTGTCCATGTCTATCTATGATTAAAGACTAATTTGTTCAACAAACTAAAAATATGTCACTCTAATTACAACCAATTACAACATTGATAGTACTAATTTAAAGGGAGTTGATTTTTCTATTTTTGAAATTAAGGATCACTAGCGCCATTAACGTTTCAATTTTTTCCTTTTTTAAAATTTTTTCTTAGAAAATAGGATAAAAAAATATTTTCTTAGCAAATGATTCCTGAGAATCAAAATGATAGTAAATGTGTTTTTTTTTTTCCTTCGTTTATGTTTATACTCAACTTTACATTTCATGTCCTTGATTTTAAGCTCCATATTTTTTTTTTACTATCAGAGTTCAATTGGGTATTCCATATGATTAGCATATTCAATTATCTCATATGGTATCAGGAATATAGTGATTAGTATAGAGTTTATTGTATCAGATACCTAAAAGATAATATATATATAAAAGATAATTTTAGTATTTAAAATTTTGAAGTAATATATATTGGTTGACAAGTCATAGTTGTTTTGGATTATGCCCTCTTTGTTGGGGTTGTTTAGCCACCGTGGTGCAGTTCAATAATTCAATGTCTATAGCATTTTTAAGTATTAAAAGTGAACCTTGTTGACTCAGCAGTCAGCACACTCTTGTTTGATAGCTCTTTTATGGTTTTCTCGGTTGCTTTGTTTCGTGACATTGGAATTTCCAATTTTGGTCGTGACCTAGTTCGTTAATTTCTGATTTCAAAGAATGGCTGAAAAACAAAATAAAAAATGCCAATAAAAAAAAAATACTGGAAAAAAGTAATAAATTGTAAAAGGGTGAATCCAAAACCAAATTACAAGCTGTTAAAAAAAAAAAAAAAAAAAAAAACCCCAACAAGTTTTCAATATAATAATTACAAAAATCCCTTCAAATGACACTAATTAGACCTCCAAGAATAAACATCACAAAATTAAGAGGATACAGGGTTAATTCTCTTTCTCAAAAATCAAATTTCCTATACACACAAGCTAGGCTACCTCATGAACAAATCCCTTTCATGATCTTTGCAACAAACCTAACTTTTTGAAGCAATGCGTGTGCATCTCTGTTTCTAAAATTTTATTGGCTTTCTTCTACCATGAAATCCTTCATGGATGCTCAAGCAATTGGTTCTCCGAAATATATATAATACATATTGGTTCTCCCAATATGTTTTCCCTTTACAATTCTATATCCACTGCAAATTGAACTTCACCAATATTGAACCCTTGCCCTGAATTGCATACATTTGCTTATTCTTCTCTTATCGAAGAACTCATAAGGGAACGAGAGGAGAGTGAATGGATGTCTGAAGCTGATACCTCTTTGTAATCTTTGCGGATGCTCCAAAGGACCTCGGCACACCTCCTCATGGTGGGGCGATTTTGTCTGTGAGGAGCTAAACATTGCAAGGCTAGTTCAAGAATCTTTTCTAGACCAAAATTATTTGCAGGATTTTTTTCCAGCCTAGGATCCAATATTAACACCGCATCTCCATCAGAAAACTTTTTCATGGCCTGCGTTTTTCACCAATCCAACCCACCAGAAGGACAATAACAGTAAATTTCTTGAAATAGTTAAGAGTAGAATATTAATATATTAGAATGGCGATCAAAGACATGACATAAAGGAGAATAATACCCATCTTGCAGTTATGCGCTCCTTCAGCTCCCGTTTAGGTTCAATAGGGCGCCTGCCAGTGACTAGTTCCACCAACAACACACCAAATGAATAAACATCACTTTTCTCAGTAAGTTGATAGGTTCTCAGATATTCGGGGTCTAAGTAGCCAGCAGTTCCTTTTACTTGTGTAGATACATGGGTTGCACCAGAATCACTGTCTGCTGCCAGTCGAGCAAACCCAAAGTCGGCCACTTTGGCTCGAAGGTTTTCCGTGAGGAGAATGTTAGAAGACTTGATATCTCTATGAATGATGGGGTGATCTGCAAGCAAAGCAAATCATCATCAAATTAGGTCACCTGAAAGAGATGCAACAACTCAGGGAGCAAACTGAAACTTGAATTTGCTCATTCCAACAAACGAATATGACAGCTGCAAACAAATACAGACCTGTATACATATGGAGATAGGTAACTGCATGGGCCACATCTATTGCAATATCAAGCCGGGCAGCAAGATCAAGAATATTGCCACGAATGCCTGTGTGAAAAATCACTTACAACATATTCAGCATTTAAGTTTACAAGCACATGTCATGTATACAATCATCGGGAGCGTGCACACACACAAGTGCGCACATACACAAAAAGGCACAGAGAACATGGCAACTAGCAATCTAGACAAGGTCAAAGAGAACTCACAATCTAAGTGTTCTCTTAAAGTTCCATTTGGAACATACTCCACGACAACAATTCTTTCATCTCCATGCTCCAAACACCCATAAAACTTGACCAAATTCAGATGTTCCACTTGTGCCAGAGTTCGAATCTCACTTTGAAATTCCACACCCAAATGTTTATCATATACACTCTGCAGAGAGACGATAGTTAAAAAATACATTTTACTCGGTTTGGTTTCAAGACAACTACTGAAAGCACACTATAGTAACTGATCAACCACACACCTTTTTAGCACGTTTAACCGCAACAAGGGTTCCATCTTCAAGTCGTCCTTTGTAAACTGTCCCAAAACCACCTTGTCCAATTTTGAAGGTGGGGGAGAAGTTTCTCGTGGCCTTAGAGATTTCTGCCATGGTAAATTTTATACCACCAGGCTCTCTCGAGTGTGTTGAATTGTTTGAACTGCTATAGATCCCACGATTTGAACCACGCTTCCTTTCACTACCACCACCAGATGCGTCTGATACATCTAAGAATTGAACAATCAATTAATTTATTCCAACATCATCTAGTCCATTTTCATGAAAGCTAATAAAGAAAAGATTAAATCTCAGTCTCAAAAATTCTCATTATGCTCTCATGGAAATGCATACATAAGATAATGAACAGGGGATTGAATGGCAGAGTTTGAGTTCTCCTAAAATGTTAAGAGTAGATCATCAAAGAAAGATTTCAAAGATGCATTCAAAAGGACCAAAAAAAGCACGATCATCACTACCAATAACAAGAGGTAGGAATTAAATGCAAGAAAGTGTCAGAAAATTTTCCTTTTCTTTTTATTCAATCATTAAAAAATATATAATAAAAAAAACTGGGGTTTCTGAAATTATTCAGCATAGTTCAGAATTCAGAGCTAATCCAGGAATATTCGGAATAAATCAAAGAAAACTGACAACAAAAGTTAGGGTGAGAAAGACAATGCATGAATATATATATAAAGAGTTTGCAACTTTACTGAAAATGCATGATTCCTTTACCAAATTGAGTTATTAGTAAAAACAAACTAAGGATTTAACAAATTACACAGGATAATATTGAATTTCATTCAATTGTTAAAAGGAAAGAGAATATAAAATCTTGGTCACACTGACACAAATTCTAACAGGTAATTATAAAAGGCATAAAGAAGAAAACTTCCCATTGGTTGCCGGGAAAATGTAAGGAATGAAAGAGATCAAACTTCAGAATCTCAACAATTTCATTTTCGAACACCATAAACAAACAAACATCTACTTGGCAACTAAAAGTTCACATATAAAACACGAGTTTCAAAAACCAATTTGACTTGTTTCATTTTTCCACCGTTCTCTAAGCCACCAAACGAATGAAAAATCAGCAAAAGAACGGAAACTCATAACTCAAACCATAAGATCCAAACACTATTACCAACCAAACCTAATTCAACACCTGATTTACACCTAATTAACCACTTGACCACAATAATTCAAAATTTCTTACTTTTTCAAAATAAATCTAGAACAGTAATTACCAGAAGGAGGTTTAGCTTCAAAAGAATCGTCCCAATTCTTCGACGTCTTGACCTCCGGCGGAGTGAAACAAGCGACAAAAACTCCGGCGACCGATTTAGCGGCGATCTTGACGGCGCGGCCTGGAGTTGACTTGTAGGCGGAGGACGAGGAGGAGTATACGGAGACGGAGCTCGGCGACTTGGTCATACGGTCCGGTGTGCTCCCTGCGCCGGAGCCAGGGTTTCGGCCATCGTCCATTGAGTTGGGGCTTCTCATTGTCTCGGAGAGAGTTCGGGGAAATGGCGGGTAGTCGGTTGGATGATAATTAATCAGCGAAGAAGACTTTGATTTTTCTATAGGGGTTGAGGTTAATTTGCGCAGCTGGAATTGAGACTTTGAGATTATTAAGTGGGACCAGCATGCATGGTTAGAGCAATGATTATGTTACCCTCTTGGTAGCTTCTTGAAAATTATGATTAAACAAACAGTTTTGAGCATAATTTCTTCACTCTTTACTTTTTGCACGCAAATATGATTTGTCATGCATTAGCTTCTCTTTCTTTTGCCAAAAAAGTATTTGATTTGATGTAAACAAAAAAAATTATATACATATATATATATCTGATCTCCTTTATTTTATATACTTTGTGTATATAAAACAACAAAATTAGTCAATTAGGAATGTCCAAGTAGTGGTAGTCTAAGTGATATAATTGCTCTTTGTTATTTTTAAAAGTTCAACGCATCCCTCCTCACTAATTACTAATTTAAAATATTCCTGACATGAAAAAAAAAAAAAAAAAATGTCCAAGTATTTTTAAAATAAATGACGAGATAATTGAAAAGAAAACTTGTTTGGTGACATGGAAATGATGAAGACTCTTTAGGTAGTTTGAACTAGTGAGTCAACCAAGTTTCTTATACATTTTACCTCATTTTTCCAGTACAAAACAATGCATGCATGCTCTTTTGAATCTTAACCTTCAAATTCAAATATAGCCATGAGTTTTATACAGATGCTACTTAAATTTGATGCTCTTAAGTCATGATAGAGAGTCCAATTATCAAAAAAATTTAACTATAATAATAATAGAGAATTCAATAGACTAATAAATTCGCCTAATATTAAATAAATATGTGCTGATGTAATCATTATGTCATAAGCATTTATGACTTACCTATTTAACTTATTTAAATAAGATTATACCAGTTAGAATTCTTCTTGTTTACAAATGAACTTACCTCTATAACACGGACTTGTTCCTACCGTGACCAAATTTTTGTTTGGATTAAATACTCCATAACTATTTAATGTGCACACCTAAGATTGCAAGAGTCAATAATATTCACTTGTGGTGGAGAAGTGTACTTGTCATATGTACATTTTAAAACAACTCATGTCACTCAAAATACAACAGGACTCATACTCGTCCTTTCAAAATCATAAAAGGGTCCCACTTGCTTTTAACTAAAAATTGGAGCCTCTGAGTCTTAAATTGATTTAAAGGCTTAGATTCATCCCAATTTTTACTCTCAATTGAAAATATCCTACTCGTCATTTTCTTCATCAAACATAAACACAAAGTTTCGTATTTGTCAAAGTCAACCACTTGCTTATTCCTCCATCCAATACCCAAGAGGACACACACTAACCAGAACATCGGTGTTGCTATAATTAAGGTTCAACTAACTAAACCAAAGACTGATCATGGGCAGCAAATCTATCCTTTAGCATGTACTAGGAACAATGTTAGATCAATGGTCTCAATTTAACCATGTCAAAATCACAGTAGGTTGAGTGGGAATACTTGCCAAGTACTTCAAAACGTGACCCATATGGTTGGCAAGAGAAGCAGATAATTGGTCACCAGATGTGTTAGCCAAAAACTTGTACCATTGGCGAAAACTCACTCTAGATAAGACACCATGGACCCAATAATGTGACCAACCATTCAAAAATATGCAACCTCCATTTCAAAGGAAATGGGTGGAAGATCCAACTAACCTGCAAAAGACATGAGAAATGTTTAATGATTGAGGAAGTAGGGTTCTTTATAGCATTTCAATTATCTTGTCGATAAATGTTAGGTATGTGAGGTTTTAGCATCACCTAATCTCATAGCAGTTGGATCGTGGACAAATGTAGCAATTGATGGTTGGAAATTGCCTCTTGATTGTCCTTGAATCAAAGCCGTTTGCTATGGAAATCCATTAGTATGTATGACAAGTTAATAAATTTGTCACGGGTAATTCGGACCTGCAAGCCAAAACAACCAATTACAAACTGATTCAGTGAAATGTTGATGAAAAGATGACGCAACTTCCTCAAGCTTAAATCTATGATGCTGCACTTATTTTCCATCCTAGTTGTAGAATTTATACTGTATTCTATTTTGATTATTATGTATTTATTTATTTTGACTGGTAAATTGTATCATATTCATTGTAGAATAGAAGTTTGGTTTCAAAAGGGGGGGAAAAACAATCACAGAGAGGAGGGAAATTACAAAGTTTTGAAATCCCAAGGAAAATGGTCTGATCTTAGGGGATTTGGGAGTTTCTAAAGTAAAATTTGCAACTAATCCAAATTTATCCCTTTTTTAGTATTCTAAATTCCACTTGTTCAAAACATAGAATTAGGATTTCATTTCAGATCTTGCATTTTCTTTACCATTTTCTTTACTAATTTAACATAGAATTAGTAATGTATTCATGATTTAAAAATCATTTGACCTCATACATAGTTTGGGACTAGGAAATCACACAGAGGAATTTGAAGATAACAACAAAAGTTGGTCACAATTTCAGGATAGTTGAGAAAGATCAATAATAAATCTAAGGAAAAGCGACGCATCTGAGACAAGAATCATATAGTTATTTCGAATTTACAGGGAATACCATGATCGCAGTATTTGTGAATACTAATTTAAAACTTTTACGTAAGATAATAAACTCATTTTATGCCACCACAGTAAATATGCAATCATATCAGAAAAATTCTTTTTTTCCGAAAGTAAAACGATTTAATGTAAAATATTAGGAGGTATTGTCCTTATAAAAGATGCACGGGCATTTAAAATCTTACCTCAGAGTGAGTAGCAGACAAATTTTACGCCAAAGAATCATAACAAAGAGTGCTTATCATCAAAAAAAAGCACCAGATCAGCTGGGAAAATCAAGTGCATATTCATTCTAAACATGGTCAAACGTAAAGTCTTCGTTGGGCACATAGTCTTCCTCCTCCATCGACCTAACAAGCAGTTCTGACAAAGCATACACCTCTGAAGCTCTCGGGTGGGATTTATCACTCGAGACAAATGTATGAACCTCGCCAGCAATCTCCGTCCAGCTACAACCTGGAACTTTATATATGCACCTGTCCCGCATCATTTTGCGAATCCTTGCCACATCAAGCCAACACCCTTCAGAAGCATATATATTAGACATGAGAGTATAGTTCACAGGGTTGCTTGGCTCTAATGCAAAAAGCTTTTCAGCTGCCCATTTTGCTAATCCAGCATTTCCATGGACTTTACATGCCCCAATGAATGCTCCCAGGACATCTGGTCCAGGTTCCACTGGCATTGATGTCAGAAGATTGAAAGCCTCATCAAGAAGACCAGCACGACCAAGGAGGTCAATGAGACAAGTATAGTGTTCTATAGTTGGTGTGATGTGATAAATTTTGGTCATCAAACTAAAGTAATGAAGGCCCTCGTATACCAGCCCCCCATGACTACAGGCAGAAAGAACACCAAGAAAGGCAACTGGATCTGGCATCATGTTATATGCTAGCATCCTCTCAAAGAGTTCAATACCTTCAATTGAAAGGCCATTGAATGCATAGGCTCCAATCATTGAAGTCCATGAGACAAGATCTGGATTTGCAATGGAGCTAAAACAATCGAGTGCCATAGTAATATTACCACTCTTAGAATATGCATTTATTAGGGAATTTGCAGTTGATAAAATGGCATCAAATCCATCTTTCATTGCATAGGCATGGACTTGTGAAATTTCAGTAATGGAGGATGAATTGCCACATGATCTAAGGACGCTAGCCAGAGTTAGTTCATCTGGACCAGTATCTCCCCGAAACATCTCCCTAATAAGTTTAATAGCCTCCTTTCCATCACCAACTCGTCCATACCCCACAATCATGGTGGTCCAAGAGATAACATTTCTAGAAAGCATCCCATCAAAAGTCTTGCGAGCATCAACTATAAGTTCATTCTTCGCATACATATCAACAAGCGCACTACTCACTGCAACATCCAAATCAAATGACAGTTTGATGACAAGGCCATGAATCTGCCTACCCAATTCACAAGATCCATAAATAGCAGCAGAATTGAGCAAATTAGTACATGTAAAATCATCCTCCTTTATACCCTCTAACCGCATCAAATTGAAGAGCCCAAAAGCATCTCTTACCAAACAATTCAAAGCATAGCAATACACCATCACATTCCACGAAACCAAATCTCTATCCAAAATATTATCAAAAATTCTTCTTGCATCTCCAACCAAACCAAATTTAGCGTATAAATCAACGAGAGCACTGCTTACGAAACAATCCCTACACAGCCCAAATTTCATTATAAAACAATGCACTTGTCTACCAATTTCAATATCATATAATTCAATGCACGTATGAAGCAAACTTGTAAATGTAACGCAATCAGGACCCACCATTTCCGAAAGCATTCTCTTAAAATAGCAAAAACCCAGATTGAGATTTGATTTAAAACTCCGGCCACAGTGCGCTGCACCGCATATCAAAGTATTCCAAGTTACAACATTTCTAACAAGCATTTCATCAAACAGCCTGCAAGCGTCGTAATACACCTTGCATTTGACATATACATGTAAGAGTTGGTTTTGCAATGCTAATACATTATAGTATCCTAACTTTACTATATGTGCATGTAGTTGTCTTCCTCTAGAAAGAAAACCATTTTTTGCAGAGATTTTTAACTCGTCAGAAAAGAAACTATGGGTTAAGTACGAATCGACAAAATGGGTTGACTCGGGACTCACCACTGAAGCTCTGAGTCTACCCAGAGGAGGAGGTGAGTTGATTTTCGAAGGTGGATCGTGTTTTTGGCCATTTTTGTTGGTTTGGCTTAGAGTTAGAGGAAGTGTTGTCAGAGCTGATAACTGACGTCTAAAAACGATAGGGATTGAAGAAGAACGTGACGTAATAACGATCATGTTGAAATAACCACAAGGACCGTTAATGAAATTCATATGCAGAAAGCTCAAAGATTATAACGACTTATGATTAAAACAATACTTTTCACTTTTCAGGCAGTCAAAGTAAAAGAATTTATCCAAATTCTTATGATCATTTTGTTGATAATCACTCTCATAGGTGCTCTGTTTAAAAATTTAAAATAGTGTTGAAATGTTTCAATGATAAATTAAGACAGCTACAAATTTAAACCAAATAGATTTTAGAGTTAAAAATTTAAGAATAATTAAATTTATCTGTTTAGACTAATAAATTTTAGAATCATTCCTTTTTCTTTTTTTTTAACAAAAATATGTTTAACACCAAAAGAAAACTCTTTCACGTTTCAACTTATGATTTATAATTTTATAACTAAATTTTTATTAATAAAGTGATAAATAACTCAGGCGACCCACTTCCTAAAACTGAAACACTCAATTTTTTTTTTTTTAAGTAGGTGATAGAAAAACATTAACAATTAAAGCGAGAGTAGTGTTTTTTTGTAATCTATAAATTCTTTAACATACTACCAAATTCAAGCAGCTTTGCATCATTTTTTATATATATATAAACATTTTCTCATTTATCTTAGAGATTTGACATAATTTCACCTTACCACAACTCCCCTCTTTGGCAACTGAAAAATACTAGATGCAATGAATTCAAATCGCACCCATCTCACACACACAGCGCGCTGAGATTGGTGGTTGAATTATGAGTTAAATTACTAATATATATTATACAAGCGAAAAGACAACAAAGGTTTCGTGGTGTAGTTGGTTATCACGTCAGTCTAACACACTGAAGGTCTCCGGTTCGAACCCGGGCGAAGCCATGTTGATCTTTTTCTTAACCGTTTTATACACTGCACTGCAATGAATTCAAATTGCACCCGCCGAATAGTCGCACGTCTTATGAGTTAAACTACTAATATATTTTACTAGCTCTTCGATAGCATGAGGTTTCGTGGTGTAGTTGGTTATCACGTCAGTCTAACACACTGAAGGTCTCCGGTTCGAACCCGGGCGAAGCCAAATGTAACCGACATTATGGTTGCTACAAAATCACAGATGTATTTTTTGTTTGTATGCTTTTATTCATCAATTCACTTGAATTGCTTCCATCGACTCAGATTTATATTGCACAATCCACATATATAGTGGAATTTAATTTATTTTGGAATTAATTATTCTATAGGTAATTGTACTCAGTGAATTATATTATCTCACGATTATGAACATACAATCCCAGTTTGAAAATGTTTGAAATTGAAATCGATTCATTTAACAATTGATTACACTATCCATATTTAAGGTTTGGATAAATTATACATAGTTAAACTTTCAAAGTTTATTACTTTGATCTTAAAATTTAGTATATGTGCTCAATGACTGTGATACCCTTAAATTTTCGAATGCGGGTTGGCTAGGCCCACGCCCAAACACCCAAGGATATCAAAAACGAATCGGCAATAAACGAACACAAAGTACAAAAGAATAAAGAAGAATAAATAAAATGCTGACAAGAAACTAAAATAATAATCTAATAATTGTTACAAATTGTGATTAAAAAATAATTTCATATTATTTATGGAAATAAAGAGACTTAGTTTCCTCCTCCATGTGCAACACCGGCAAATTCCTCTAATGACACACCCTCTTGAATAAATTCTTGATTAAGAATTTACTGATGAATATTTATTCAGTCTCTTATCCTCACCCGGTGTCATTCCAATAAGTACTTAATCCCATACTAAATCCTCCTTCTGACTTAGTAACAACTTCTGAAATTTTCAATAAGATGTTCAGCAAATCCAGCACCTCTGATATATCATCATGGCGTTACAGTGATCTTTATTTACCACTACCTCACGCATACCGAAACATTAACAACCATCAATATCATGGCGTTGTAATATGATATGAATCCATACCTAACGTAAAGTATATCAAACTAATCGTTCTAGATTGTTTGACTCGTAGTGATGATTTAATTATCTCATCCCAAAACACACCATAATGACACATGTCCAGGTCCAATAGATTGACTAGATTTATGTGTATCTACCAAATCCTACGACCGTACGCTCACAAATCTAGCGTAAATAGCGCTATTACTCCATGTTATTAAAATAATAGTTGGCTGATCACACACTTGTGTCCCCAACTAAACCACATACAATTAACCAGAAAAATCAACGAAAATTAAAACACGTATGACAAACACAAAAGCACAAAATATATTCCTACTTAAAACTCCGTTCTTTCTAGAAAAGAAAGTCTCATCTGAAATCAACTTGCAAAAATTGTTTCACAAAATTTCCTTTTATAGTTTCATAGGTACTCATCCAATCTTGAAACATATCATTTAAACATAGCTTAAAAGCAACATTTGTTAGTCTAAGCAAATACTAAGGGCTTAACCCTCATCCTCCCTATACACGGAATATAAACTATCTAACTTGGCTTTATAAAGTGAATTAGAACGTCATAACATAATCCACATACTCTTCTAAACATGATACAAAATTATATGTTTCGTTCTGATAAGAACTGCAGCAAATTTCCAAGCTCCTGAAGAGTACTTTTTATATATCTCTTTTAGAGATGATGAGAAAGTTTAATTATTTGTAGATTGATCAACACCAATTCTACTAATATCATCCGCTATATTACCAGTAAATAAAATCACCCTCGTGCGATCATCCATCTTCAAGATTTAATACCCTCTCTGTTTGGATACTCTGAACTCTCCTCTATGGATCCTCTTCGGACTCCTATTCCTCGTTTGTCTCCTTTTTGCGATCAACTGAAGTTGTGTTGGCCCCGATATGCGGTGACCTATCACATACACCTAAATCCTTCACTGGCTTATACTTTTAAAGTAACACCAACCCGGAACTAAACCTTCAATCTCAAATTCTGGCTTCTGGCAAAAAAATCGATAACTTACTCCTTTACCTCTTTGGGTTTTTATTGCTTTCGCCTTGAACCCAATCCTCCTCCTAATGCCAACCATTCTGTAACTACAGAATCTAATTGACATCAGCTCCTCCTAACGAACCGTAAATAGAGTACAACGAATCCTAATATGAGCTCTAAGTTTTAAGAGACGCAACGCGGAAGTCACATAACGAAAGACACTCCTAAGGACACTTGAACCTGGAGTGCTCTGATACCAACTGTGATACCCCAAATTTTCGAATGCGGGTTGGCTAGGCCCACGCCCAAACACCCGAGGATATCAAAAACGAATCGGCAATAAACGAACACAGAGTACAAAAGAATAAAGAAGAATAAATAAAATACTGACAAGAAACTAAAATGATAATCTAATAATAAACCTCAGAATATATTTTCATTAATTAATAAACTCTTCTGATACAACTGATCCTCCAAAATACAACTCGGGAATCCATACTGCGTGGACCCCTAGAAAATCCAAACTAAACAAATGACAGTAATAACTGTCTAAATCAGGAAACTGAATTATAAAGGAACTCCTATGTAACATCGGAAGAATGAAGTAGACTGATACCCACTCAGCACGAACAACCTCTACTTCTGACGAATACCTGAAAAATAATGGTGGGTCAGGCCCACAAACAAGTTCTACTCTACTACAGTCCAAGCAGAGATCCGATACACGTATACATCCTAGTCAATCCAACAGTAACTAGTAGTCCGTATATATATATACACACACTAAAGGAACCTCACTAGACTATAGGGTTGTCTCAACCTGAATAGTAGGCGACATGCAAAACGCACATATAGTGGGCATGAGTACCTAGACCTACCAGGGTACACAACTACACTATATCTAACTACACATCCCTGGCGATATACGCACCCTAACCACTGATTCTGAGACTCAAGCTCATATCATGGCACCATACTTATATATATATAATCTAGTAACCATCTTATTCAGTATAAATTAATCCTCTACAAGTCATTCAACTTATTCAGCTGACCTGACTTGAATATAAGTAGGACTTAACATTTTAGTTAATCAATTCCCTTCTATAATAAATTAATCCTCCATAAGTCATTCAACTTGTTCAGCTGACCTGACTTGAATATAAGTAGGATTTAACATTTTAGTTAATCCATTCCCTTATATAAAATAGGTAGGACTTAACTGATAAATTAATCCATCCCTAGAATGCCACCGTCCCATACCGGTGCATTAAACCACGCAATCCAACAATTAATGTAACGATTAAGGAAATATATCAAACAATCCAGAAATAACTATGATAATATGATATCAAGTTATCACAAAATATGAATGACTTATTATTTATTTAAGTTTCCTATATCATATGTCCTGCATAAACTGATTCTTATACATATGATGATATTTTATTATACCGTCAAATCAGCATTCTCCATATCCAATTCATCCTACACATTTAATCTCAATTGCTAAAACATATTAAAAGATTAAATCCATTCGTTTGTTTAAAACATTCAAATAGCAAGCATCATTATGATTGAGTCTATTTAAATTTATTTAAACCTAAACCTAGTTCCTATTTAATGTTCAGGAATCCTAGGCATGTTTCTACGTTCCATCATTCCACAGATATGAAAAATACATAATTTAAACATGTAAAAATTCACACCGGAAATCAAATCAAAATCATGCATTTATCAATTCATAACACAAGAACAGATATGAACAAAATTCATAAAACCTATGTTTTAATCCAATTAAACATGTATAATTATTTAATTTTATGTGTTTAATAAATCCTGGTATTTCCTAGGCATGTACAGAAACACGAATCAAAGGGAAAGAGATAGAAGAAGAACTTGCCTTAAACTTTCGGATCGAAAGTTAAACTTCTTCTTCCTTGATCTTCTCTCTACAGTGTTTTTCTCCTCCTTCCTTCTCTAACTCTCTCTCTCTAGCATATATCATGTGAATATTTCTAACCCCTTTTTACAACCTATAACTATATATTTATAGGCTAAATAAAATAACCCTAACCCTTTTCCCAATCCAAGTCAACTTAAAAAAAATAAAAAATAAAATATTAAAAAGGTAAGTAAAATATGTTACGTATATAATTTATGTATATCTTTATTAAATAAATAAATTATAAACATTCCATTATTTATTAATGGATTATCCAATAATACTTAAGTTATCA